ATCATTCTTCATTCTCATCCTCTCCAAGCCTTCAGCAGTTATCAGCTCAGAAACACTTTGCTCTAGAAATCTTTACACTTAGTACCTTTCAATGGATTTCTCTTCAACAAAAACATCTGACCTCCATGGAAGCCATATGAGTTTTTTGTCTTCAACACTTTCACAGAAGTATTTCATGTTTATTCTGAAGGATTGTCTTCAGGAATTGGAGAATGAAATTCTTACTTGGATTCCATCATTCTAACACCACTAAGCAAGATGCAATACAAAGCAACTAATTTTTTTCTCTTAGAGCACACATTTTTTTTCCCTCTGGACACAAAGCATCTCTGGAATTGGAGTAACTTTTAATTATTTATTTCTCCTGTTAAGAATTTGCTTTATAAAATATATGGCTCTAGAAAAGTGGACATTATAGCGAATAGATAACAATTATAATGATAAAAGTTAACAGCGCTTTGAGGTAAACAATAAATTGAAATATTAATAGAATCAGTATTTTTAGGTATAGTGTTCAAAGAGATGTAAATTTTAACAGCTACGTGCAGGAGATGGAGTGAACACCTTGGTATCACTGCTCTGTCTTAGAACAAAGCTCCATTTGCTTAATGTATTAGAGGAGGGTGCTTTATGTTTCATGTTGTCTTTGGTCTGTCTGGATTTATTTTTGAACTCAAAGAGTGATATATGTGTTTCAGATATAACTTTTTATATTATTTATAGGAAAAAAGTTCTCTTTGTTACAAGTCAAGCATTTCAGATGACCACATATGCTAAGCTCAATGACTATACTCAATTATATAGTACAGCAAAATGTAATTATTTTGTGAAAATAAATATATACAATCAGTAATTTGTGTTTTGGCTAATTTTTTTTTTTTTTCCTTTCCCTGGGCATAGCCTGGAATGGACCTGTCCTTAGCCAGGGGACAGGCTGAGCCTGTCAGACCAGTGTCTGAACCGTAAACAACATCTCTATTGCTAACCTCAGCCTGGCTGAGGTCCTCTGTAAATATAGCTCTGCTCAATAACTATATTCTTTATATTGTCACCTCTCTTTTGGTTCGTTTATCTGCCAGCACATATAGCATTTCAGTACAACACTGGCCTCTGTTTCTTAGCACCATTCAATGTGGAGAAACTTTTCTCTGTACTCTTGTGTCTGGATTTGATGTCACCTCCCAAAGCACCGTTCAGCCACTGCATGTGCCATCCTGTGGGTTCTCCCTTCTTTAATCCCTGTGGCAGGAGACTTCAAGCCTACAACAGCACAGCTATTTTAACTCCTTGGGCAGACACAGTGAGAGACATGCCCTGCATCTCTCAGCTATCTATTCACCCTGAGTTTCCTACTGTGCACTCCACTCATACCTCCCTCCAGTTTCATTATTCACATCAGGCTTGTAAAATCCTGCAGAGATTTCATGCCTCCTATCCTGTCTACTCAGAGCCAGTGCAGCTATCACATTCTTCTCTTGGCCATGCTCATGACATCATGTCCCTGCTGTAGCTCTGGGATAACAAAACACTGCCCAAGGGACTCAACAAGCTTTCAGCATCACTGTCCATCATCAAACAGTTTCAGTCTCCTCATTATTGCTTTGTGTGGAGCAGCAAGAGAGAAAAGACACAGAAAATACCCCCAACTAGTTTTATTGAAGGCTTCAAAGACAAATTACTGCTAGCTCATGAGAAAGCTCCAACACCTGTTTCAGAGAGCAGACTCTGAGGCTCGAGCACACATTAGAACATTGAGAAGGTAAAAGTTAAGACAAATAGTATACAGAGAAAACGATTTTCTCTCTTGTGTGGGACAAACCTTCTATCCTATTTTGGATGAGAACACACATGGCATTTCCTAATATTACTTTATTTCAGCTGCTGAGGCAATAACTGTCTGACAATATCAGTATTTATTACTAGCAATTTGTCCACTACAGTATTTATTCACTTCAGTAAGGGTGAACCAAAAGATTTTCTTCCCCACTGCAACATTTATCATATCTTTAAATGTCATGTCAGTACATGAAAATATGCCAGAAAACTCTTCAAGACAGTTGTCATTCCATGTCTATCTATGCATATTTCTTAGCACATTCACTATCATATTTGTACACTTTCTGTTCATTTTATTCTGGCTCTGACTGAAAAAGGCAAGGACAATCTGGATTACTGCAGGGATTCAGATGGCAATATTACAGATCCAAAACTGTGCAGTGTGGAGATCTCCTTCTTCTCTTGTGGTCCACACGTGCAACCGGGTTTTATGTTCTAATGTGAATCTCTAATTGAACCATTTATTCAGTACTGTGATGGCTTACCTGGGCCTTCATGTGTACACTGATACTTATTTTTCTCTACCCTATCTCCTTTAGCAACTTGTGAATATAAAACATCTAGGGCAATGTGGTATCTATTATTAAAAAAACTTAGATTGTTACTTTTCTTCTAAGTAAGTTAATACGTACACTTCTTTCTTCTACTTCAGATATCTTAAAATGTTTTACAGACAAATGTAATGGAAATAAAATGAATGCATAGAAGGAGTTTAATACTGGCCTAGACCTATTTATGAATGTGGCTATAAAAACAAATATATATGCATGGACAGAATATATAAATGTATCATCAGAATCTATCAATAAATTCTAGCAAGGCAGGGTGATAGAAAAATCACCTGAATAAAGTATACCACATATTTTAGTCCTTCACAAATATCATATTATGCAAGAAATTTATTGCTCAGTTCTGTACCCCTGAGAGGACTAGGAAAAAATAAAATGTAGGTTCAGCCTTGATGCTTTAAATGAAACAAATTTTTAAATTTCTCTGCTGTGTATGAAGTTTGTTATTTTTAAATGTGATGCTGAAAATAGCATTTTGATTTCAGTGCCCTTCAGCTACATGGGAAAGAAGAATTTGTTTTTTCTTTGAAATTTCCCATTACAAAGAACCAGGGAAAATACAGCAAACCAGAAATTTATCAGCTACCTTGTAACAATCAAGAAGGTAGAGATGACAACATATTTTCTTACATAATACTACTGAATTAGGTGAAATAAGTACTGAACTAGAAAAAGAAATGTTGCCTATTGTCTTACAATAAAAATAAAATATGATGAAGCAGTAAGACTTCCAGATGATTCATTTTTATCACTTCAGCTCTGCACAAGACATCTGCAGGTTTCTGCCATTGTAAAAATGTGGTCTTTACACATCTTGTACCAGCTTGCACTTCTTCCAGACAGGGATCCACAGCTGTTTCCAGCTTCAGGCATTGCTCTAGGTTAGTGCTGTGGTTTAGACCCAGCTGGCAACCAAGCCCCATGAGCCACTGGCTCTCCCTTTCAGGAGAGAACCGGAAGGGTAAAAGTGAGAAAATGTGCAGACTGAGATGAAGACAATTTAATAGGGAAAGCATAAGGCACGCCACAAGCAAAGTGTACAAGGCATCCACTCACTGCTCGCACAGGCAGGCAGGTGTTCAGCCATCCCCAGGAAAGCTGCGTTTCAGCACGAGCAACAGTGACTAGGGAAGACAAACACTGTCACCCCAAACATCCCCCCTTCCTCCTTCCATGATACTGTGTGGTGTGGGACATCCCTGTGGTCACTTGGGCTTGGCTGTCCCAGCTGTCCCCTCCCAACACCCTGTGCACCCCCAGCCCTCCCGGTGGTGGGGGGGGGTGAGAGGCAGAAAAGACCTTGATGCTGTGTGAGCCCTGCTCAGTAATAACCAAAACACCTCTGTATTATCAACACTAACCTCCTACGCCAAAGCACAAAACAGGGCCCTTTCCAGTGCAAACACCGAGTACAGCATTTAAGGACTTTCCCAACAAGATTTCACGTAAAGTCAAAGTGTTCAGACAAAGCTGATGTTCTTTTACAGTAGCATTGAACAGTACCATCTAGATTAGGAAATGTCATTCATTATCTCCCTAAATACTTTGGGAAGCCTAAACCTAAGTCTGCAAAACAAGGTCATCTGGCACTAGTATTTTTTTGTTATAAAGCAGGATAACTCATCAGAACAAATCAGAAGGTAGCTCTTATCGAGAGCTTGCCTTTAAAAATGCTAAGGAGAGTAGACGTAGAACAGAAAGAAGTAGGAAGCATTAGAAACAATCAGCAAAAAGAATGCGGAGCATTTAGAAGTAATGGCAATGGGAGTAATGTTAGAAGACTGAAGTATAGACTAGCAAGCAAGAGAAGAGGAAAGAAAAGGAAACTACCCAGTGAGTGGCACATCTGTGCTTTCTGAAAAACTGCACAGCTCCACGGAAGAGGCTTATGAAGTTTCCATGAAGTATAAAAGTAATTACTTCAACATAATGTAGCTTACAGACAGAAAGAAACAGTCCAGACCTCACAGGGTAAGGAATTTTCCACAATCAAATGTAAAAACAGCTCTGGATGCTGAAATTTTTTTTGTTCCTATTACTGAAAATTAGAGATCAGATGTGAGTGTTAAAGGGGACTGAGACAGTAGCAGTAAAAGTGAGCTGCCTCTCAGCCTGCCTGACCTGCACAGTTGGTGGTGGCCACATGAAGCAAGACTGTGGGTCAGAGAAACAAAAAATGATGTGACACTTGACGCCTGGAAAGATGAAGAGAAGAATCCTGGAGGACCTGTGTATCCATCACTTATTCATGACACTGCACCTACTGAAAAGCCAACATGGAAATTGCAGCATGACTTTCAGGTGCATTGGGATTTACTCCACATAACTAGCAGCCATCGTGCTGAACTTCTCCCGAGGGAAAGGAAAAGGTAAGATTAACACAATTACATAATTTCAGAATATTTTAACACTCTGCCACCGTACATGGTTAGCTGAGATGCCAGTGTGATTAGGCATGGGAAGTAAATATTTACGTTATTATTTATAAATCATACTCAGAATGGCATCTTCCTATGGGCTATTTGCAAAATACAGTTTAGGATACAAAAATGGCTGATACATAGGTCCTGACAATTTCTATTGCATGTAGCTAGCTTGAAGCATGGCAGAAAATCCATGAATCTTGAGACAACTACTGCGTCCACCAGATTATAGAGGCTAAGAAAATTATGTAGTAAATGGAAACAGTCACATGATTAGAACTTGTAAACTTTTATTTCATTTTACTTTAAAGGTATTTGCACTTACAATGTGTATTTCAGTATTTCTGCAGCACCCTTGCTGTGTTGCAACACTGGTTCATTGTTAGGTTGATGCTTATGTATTAGCACAGCAGATGAAAGAAGAATTTCTGGTTTGTTCCTTTTTCCTTTCTGCCTGGGATTTTTCCCCCAGGTATTTCAATTTCTTTTCTTCTTGCTAGATAGCTGTTCACATACTTTCCTCTGTATGCAAAGAAACTGCTCTGAAGTCCTGAGCAAATACAGAGCATTCATAGCAGTACAAAGAGTGAAGAATGCCACTCTAAACTTCTTCATTCTTTAGTCAGTAAACAACTTTGAGTTAGCTCTTACCAGATAACTGAAATTAACCGCACTGCCAGGCCCTGACACTGCAATACTTATACCTATTCTTAATGTTACAAGGGGAGATGTCACATTGTCTTCAGTGGTACTCAGGTACTTAAATCTACACAAAGAAAATTTCAGGCATAAGGCCCTATCTGCAGAAACCTGGGTAGCCAATAAGATCAGCAGCTACAGAATGTCTGCCTGCTCTGCTGTTTGCAGTGAACATCCTGGCTGATATATTAATTCAAATTGGTAAGCAGAGACAGGATTTCCACCAAGTGTTTTCTATTTGCACTGCTTTGTGTAGAGTGAGTGATGCCAGTCCTGCCAGCAGAGCAGCAAAGTTTAAGAAACGCAACCACAGAAATTAACAGACTTGGTATTCTTTTTGTCAACTGCTTCTGTCTTTTTGAGACTTTGAGTTGGTGTCATCAAGCTTCTCTTTAAACTATACAGGCTGGAGTCTTAAAAGCAGACAACAGGGATTCTTGGGCAATCAGATTTGGAATTTTCGGGAATCCACTGAAGGCTAAAATAAAAGACAAAGAATTGACAATAATCCATTATATTGCAGTAGAAAACTGTAGAGGACAGTAGCATTTACTCAGTCCCTTTTAATAGTTCTTTTTCTGCAGTTCCTCTGCCCCTTCTGGAGCTGCTGCTGGTGTTACTGCAGATATGCAGTGAGCCTAGCAAGTCAGGCGACAGGTTCAGCTGCAAACCTGCACAAAACAATCAGAACAGTGTGCCAGCTTTCAGCCAGGGCAGCACCTTCAGGCAGCTGCCTGCCCTGCTGCAGGGCTAATGCTGCCAGAGAGCTGGGCTGCACCTGAGAGAAAAGAGAGGAAAGAGAGATCACAGCAGCCTGGAACCACACTGAACTGCCTGAGAGGCAGATCTTCAGTGCTGCCTCATTCTCATGGATGCTAGGGAATGGAGCAAGAAAAACTATTTCAGTTTTAGGCCTTCTTCAGGTGTTTTTTTTTTTTTTTGTGCAAATGGCTTTTGGAAAGTATTCATAATTAGAGAACAGGATTTCTTCACACAAGACAGCTGTCTGTTTAATGAATGTAACTTTTAGGTTTTTTTCTCTCTCCCACCCTTATGCCTCTTACATCTCTCAAAGGTGCTTTTCTTCTTAACTGCACTTTCATAAAAATTTACTAATTAATTCCCTTTTTTGAATCTTTATGTTGCAGTAAAAATTTGCTAAATCCTGGAGATAACAATGCAAGCTCCAGGCTGGATCACTTTTCTCTGTAGGCCAGGAGGCAGTGGAGGTAGGACAGTGTGTGTTCCCCTTCCTGCTGAAAAGGCTGCGGCTGCCTTGTGCAAGCCTCCCCTCCTGCCCTCTGCTGAAATGGGGCAATTTCCATACCACGCCAGCCTCCCTGCTGCAGCAGTAATTCTTGCAGCCAGACAACTAACCACTGTCATTGCCTCCTCAGCCTTCATCCCTGATGGGTTTTGTCTCCTGATGTCTCACAAGATTTCACTGTACATTTTGAATAACTTATTTAAAACCTCACTTAATGTTTCCCAAACAGCATTTCTTTGACTCAAGCACCAAGCCACAGAATCACAGAGTGGTTCAGGTCAGAAGGGACCACAGTGGGTCATCTGGTCCAACCTCCCTGCTCAAGCAGGGTGGCCCCAGAGCACAAGGCACAGGATTGGGTCCAGGTGATTCCAGTGAGGGAATCTCCAGTGAGGGAGACTCCATACTCTCTCTGGGCAACCTGCTGCAGTGCGTGGCTACTCGCACAGTAAAGAAGTTTTTCCTCGTGTTCAGCGGGATCTTCCTGTGCATCAGTTTCAGCCTCTTGTCTTACTGCTGGGCACCACAAGGAGAGCCTGGAACACCCTCTCGGTACTGCCCCTTAACACACTTACAGACACTGACGAGATCCCTTCTCCAGGCCCAGCTCCCCCAGCCTGCCCTTGTTAAGAACTGCTCCGGTCCCTTCATCTTTGTCGCCCTCAGCGGGACTCGCTCCGGGACACTGCCACCCGCTGGCGGTGCGCCCCACCGGCCGGGCCCCTGCGCTGCTCAGCCGGCCGGGCAGCAGCGCCGGGGACACGGGTGCCGGTGTGGCATTGTGCCGGTGTGGCGATGTCCCGGTGTGATGTCGCCATGTCCCGGTGCCACCACAGGGCCCGGGGGGAGGGGGCGCGCCTCACGTGAGCGCCGTGCCAGCGCACGGCGGCGGTCACATGGCCGGGGCGGGGGCGCGCGGCGGTCACATGACGCGGCGGCGGCGGCGCCTGACGTCCCGGGGCAGCCCGGCCCATGGCGCCCATGGCCTCGCTGCTGCTCGGCGCCCTCCTGGCGCTGCTCCCGTCCGCCGCCGCGGCCGCCGCCGCGCTCCCCGACTCCTACCAGGACCTGTGCAGGTGGGCGGCCGCCGGGACGCGATGGGGCGGCTGGGGAAGGGCTGTACCGGGGGGGCGGTGTATCTTGGTGCCCGTGCCGCTTCTGCCCTCCGCGGAGCGCAGCGCCGGGACTCGGCAGCGCGGGCACGGTCCCCGGGCTATTGCTCGCCCGTCCCGGGAAGGGTCAGGCCGGGGTCTCCGGGGGAAGCGCGGCCGTGTCCCCGGGCGTGAGGCCGAGGCTGCTCCGTGGCGGAGGCGCAGCCGGGCTGGGAGCCTGAGGGGCCGCTGCCTCGGGACCTCTCTGCTCTGCAGATACAGGAAACCTGCGGGCGAGAGGATGGGTAGGCTTGCGCTGTGCAAGGCGCCTGTGGTCGGTCTAGTCTGAAAAACAAAGTGTTGTTGGTTTGGAAGGGATGTCACTTGCGAGTTGGCTTCTTGCTGAGAGTATCACCATGAGCCATTCGGGTACTTACGGGTGAGTTAAGAAAGCTTTGGGGAACTTAGCATGTGGAAATGGCACCATTATTTGTGTCTTGACATTTTTCTGCTCCAGTTTCAGCCGTGAGTTTAATATAGCCCCAATATCTTGCCAGTCTTAGTTTCTTAATTATTTAGCCAGAATAGACAGGGTACATAGAAGAACACATTATTTCAATCAGTGTCACTGTGAACACATTATTTCCATAGTGTCACAACAGTGTGGAGGCACCAGTGTGGCAGGGTGAGTGTAGCACTAAGGGCAGAGCTTGGATCGCTGGAGGGAATGGGCTCTCCACCTGGCAGAATCTGGGATATGATATAATAAACAACATTATATTGTTAAATGATGAAAAAAGGGGGTTGGCTTGCAAGAATAACCCCTGACGGTGGCAAAAATTGGTTTTGTGGTTTTGTCAGATGACCCCCCTAATTGCAGAATCGAGGCACTATTGTGTAGCTTTTGGAGGGAATTTAGCTGCTCTGATGAGTGATTTTTGTTGTTGTTGGGTTTTTTTTTCCTTTTTTTCTTGGCTTTGTTGTGTTTCTATGACTAGAGGAATATTTGAGAGTCCTGTGGAGAGACATGCAGTCTCATTTTGGATGCAAATTACTTCAGCTGGTTTCATTTTGTTACTGGCAAGTGGAAATAATTTGCACGTAGATAGCACAATCAGCAGGTTTCCTTTTAAGATGGACTGCTTCAATAACATGTATTTGCTGTTGTGCCATGGTGGGGAAAAAACTGCTTTGGAGGCTTTATGTCCAGTAATCCATAATGGGTAAAAGAAAAAATAAGAACTTGTGCTCTGGTAGGTGGGAAGTCCACATGCAGTTCAGTGGTGAAGTTTCTTCATGGGTACAGTTGCCAAAAAACTTTACCAAGTGAGGAATGATGCAGGCAATGCAAACGCACTGCTGGTGGATTTCCCAGCCAGAAGTTACTATGTTGGTGTGCAGGACAAGTCCCTGACCAACCTATTTTTGTACTGGCTTAAAGCAAGGTTTTTATTTGTTTTACAGCTGTTAAGAAAACAGCGTCCTGGGCTTTGTGTGCTGTAATAGGACTGGTGAAACTGCAGCAGCCGCTGTGTCTGGTGTGTGAGTGTCAGAAGGTGGGCAAAGAAGGAAATTGCTGGGGGTTAGAAGGGGCACTGGCTCTCCTTTAAGTAAGAGTAGGAAAGCTGTTTTGCAGGGAGGAGGAAAGGTGTCAAAACTGTTTTGCGCAAGAACTGCGGCGTGAGGCCGCTTAAACTTGAGTTGGAGCTTTTCATTGTTTGCTCTGTGCAGCCTTACTGCTGCTATGCTTGGATGGTCTCGGGAAAGAAGAAAAGCTTTCATTCCCTGGAACTTTGTCTAATGGCATGGCTTCAGTCACTGATTTTGTTGTGCTTTCTCCTTTGTTCTTGTGCGCTCCGACAGCTGACTGTGGCTGTCATGTGACTTGCAGTTGGAATTCTTTTTTTATCTTCCGTGTAGAGGTTTCTCCAGGATTGCTGCAGTATGAGTACCTGTGAAGGAGTACAGGGAACTGGTTCGATATAGGAAGTTACTGGCTAGCTTGGTCTCTCACAGTTTTTCTTCTTCCCCTTATATTTTTCATGTTACAATGCAGGAAAAATTCTGGAGGTAATTTTGTGACATGTCATTTAAGTCCATCTACTTCAAAAGAAAGCTTGACAGTTTGGGTTCACCTTCTGCATAACACTGCAAAAGTTGCTGTCTAATTTTCTTTCTAAAAAAAATGCAGAATATATTTTGGGTGGTAGGGCAGCAAATACAAACTGCCTCCTCTATGAGCTGTTTTGCCTGAAAACCTGTACTGGCTGAGAACTGATTTAATGACTGGTGATGTTTTTGCTCCCTTGCAAGAATAGGAGTTGGTGCATAACTTCAGTGATTTTTTGACTTGTGATGTAAGGGAATCTCAAACTGCTGTACAACACAGGATTGCTGTTATACAGACTCCAGATTTTGGAGTTGTAAGTCAATTCCATTTTATGTTAAATGTGTAGTTTTTGATAACACAACTCCTACAGCTGACTGTACCTACACTTCTGCTTATTCAAAACGTTGTCTTTTCAGCCTTTGTTGTGAAACCACAACTGCTCTCATCTGTGCTGCTTGAAAGCCCAGGCTTGGCCTTGGTGAAGAAGCATGTGCTGAGTACAGAGAGGTGACCTTTGGGTGCACTCATTCAGCTCTATTAAGTGCTTTGACATATTGAAGTGGGAGATGTCATAAATAAGATATCACTGGACTTATATACTGATGTGAATGGGTGTGTCATGTGCCTGGGAAGCTGCCACTGTAGTGTCTGAGTATGATTTCTCAGCACATGAGCCTCCTCCTATAGCTCTTGCTTACCTAGACTTCAGGTTGCTACCCCTTTTCTTAAGCATTCTGTGAAATGGTGTAGTAGATGTGGTTTAGAGTGCAGCATGAAAGCCCAAATGTCTCCTGGATGCAAAAAGCAGTAGAGCTTGTAGTGTAACTGAGGCTCTCATGCATGATGCACACAAGAAAACTTGCCTGAAGATACACAGTGTGCGTGGCAGCTGGAAAAAGGGACGGGTGAGCTAGAGCAGAATTATGCATGGGTAGGGATGCATTAAAAAGCTCTTGAGGCATAGTGATGGCTGAACTTTGTGCTGTTCAAGCTCTCATTTTCTGTAAGGAGAGCTTGCTTTGACATAGAGATTTCTTTACTGTACACATTCATGTGAAAAGGGTGGTCACATTTAATAGTGATTTCTGTGGCAAGTGAGCTGCAAGCTTCAAATTTACAGTGGCCATTCTGGAAATTGTTCTTGATCTTGTCTGCCTGAGATTGTGCTGGTTGAAACTGCTGGTGAGGAGCTTTGGGCACTCGTTTAATCTCTGCAGTGTTCTGATAGCTGAGAAGCATCTGGGCACAAAATCGTGCGGCTGCATAATCACATGTGGATGTGCTTTCCAGCTCTGTGGCTGTGGGTTGCCTTGTCTCTCTGCCAGGTCGTCTGTACAGCACCCCCTCAGCAAAATGAGCTATTTCAGTGCATTCCCCCGAGAGGGAACCCGTGATTGTCTGTGCCTGTGCTTTACAGCCCTTTGGAGCAGGGTGCGCTGTTCCTCCAGCAGTCGTCCCTTGGGTGACGCTTGGAGAGCCAAAAAGCTTGAACTGTTGTTGGGGATTGGTGGCAGTGGTCTCTCTGGAGCTCTGCTGATTTGAAGTGGTTCCCTAGCACTCAGGCCTCAAAGTGGCTCTGGCATTGGGATTGTGAAAAATGTGTATTTTGTGATTGGCTTTTCACAAATTTTAAAATTAGTATTATATGTGTTATGTTAGAAAGTTATTCTGTATTAATTTTCTTAAGTTGTGTGTTAAATATAGTTTTAGGTTATAACATAAGGTTAAAATAGAAATGATGCTATGTAAGATGCTTTTTGTAAAGAAAGGACTTGCACCGAAATAGCAGCCACAGGACACCTAAGTCTTTCAGAAAAAAATAATTTATTGCTCTCTTATCAAAAGAAAGAAAATTCTCCCTGCCTTGCTCAGGCCTGAAGATGCCTTTAGGATTAAGAGGAAGAAGTTGATGATGACCAGACAGAATCCTGTGTTTGAATGGAATTGATGCATCATGTATGAGATGTATGAATATGCAACAAGCTATTGTTTTTAAGGGTTAATCCTTTGTTAGCAGGTATCCTTTTTCAGGCTTATTTTGCCCAGAAAAAGGTACCCAGATGTCCGTAACTCTTTGTTTCTATTGTCTCGTATTTTCCTAATCCTAATTGTCCAAATTATTATTACTGTAATTATATTGCTATTTTTATAAGCATTTTATTACTATTAAACCTTTAAAATTTTAAAAACAAGTGATTGGCGTTTTTCACCAGGATGCCCTGGCTGTGACAGGAGTTAGCCTTTTGCACCTTGCTTTACTTCAGTGCCTCAGCTTCTCATCACAAAGTAATCTAGGCTTGCTTTTCCCTTTCTCATGTTGTTTTTTCATATTGCTTCTTTGATTTGTTTAAAAAAACCAGAGCTCTCATTTGATGTTGCAGCTTGCCAAAAAGTAGATTAATTTTCTTTTTCAAATGATTGCTTCACTGTCTCAAGAACAGTAGTAGGTAGCTGAAAAGGCTGACCTGCAGGCAGGGTTATTCCCAATAACTCGTTTGGATCTTGCTTGCACAACTGCTTTTGACAGTGGTCTGAGCTGGCCCTGCCTCCTCCTGTGCCTCCTGCTGCTGGTGCATGGCCAGAAACCACCGTGAGCCAGACGGGGAACTGGCCAGGCTCAGTGCCCCTCCACGCACATTCTCATGCACCTGTTGTTTTCCTGAGTT